GCTGGCACGGTTCGTGGCCCCATAGGGAGTTCCGCCGACGGCCTCAGTTGCAAAGTTCGCACGCGGTTCCCCGCCCAGTTCGGCACACCCCTCACACGGTTCTTGGCCCCATAGGGAGTTCTACCGAAGGCTTCAGTGGCAAAGTTCGCATGCGGTTCCCCGCCCATTTTGGCACACCTCTCACATAGTTTGTGGCCCCATATGGAGGCCAGTCGAAAGATGGACCCAGAACGCAGTATCCACAACAGCGTATGGTTGGGCCCTTCGCCAGGCTAATGTTTGACTATTTTTGAATGTTCCTCCTGTGGAGGGACATGCCCGACTTGATGCGAATCGTGACGTGACCAGGGGGGCAAGGGGGGTGGGGCGGGCCGTGCACGGGCGCTATCGCGAATAATCAAATCAAACAACGGGTTCTTAGGGGGAGGGGAGGTTCGTGAGGGGGCTCCTCATCTTTGCCATCTTTCCTCCTCCTCGTCCTCATCCGCCCTGGCCCCCCCCCTCTCGAGCTGGGTCTACAGAGGTACAGAGGATGGATGTTAGGCGCTAGCGTGACGAAGACCAGAGGGAGAACGCAGACAAATGAGGATCCATAGACCAGCATTCGATTTCCTCGTCCAAGTTGAAGGATTTTGCTGGCCAGGGAGTGCTGGTGTCAGAGCAGAGAAGATTCGGAGATGCCGTGGCCAGAGCGAAGCTGGAACTGCGCCGGGAAGGGAACTGGTACAAGTGGCGTGAGAGTGGACTTGGAATGGATTGTATTGACTGTCGGGTAAGAATTCAGTACGAATTGCTTGATCGATGTAGGAACTCAGGACGTCTATGGCGCTTGACTTCGCGTGCCATTCCCAACAGTCCTGTGTTGGTCGTCGTTTGGAAGAGACAGCGCCCCGGGTCTTCTTCCTCCTTCCTCCTCCCCCTCCTACTTCCTCCCATCCCTGCCTCTGCCCTGCATATGGGCTCATCACCATCATGCGTATCCGCACCCGATTTCGCACACCCATCGCACGTTTCGGGGCCCCATGGGGAGCTCCACCGAGTGCCCCAGCGGCAGGGTCTGCATGGCGCATCCGCAACCGATTCGGCACACCCCTCACACGTTTCGTGGCCCCATAGGGAGCTCTACCAAAGGCCCCAGCGGCAGGGTCACGCTTCTTGGCCCCATAGGGGGCTCCACCGAGGGGCCCAGCGGTAGGGTCCGCATGGCGCTCGCGCATCCGACTCGTCACACCCCTCACACGTTTCGTGGGCTTCGTGGCCCCGCAGGGCGCTCCTCCGAAGGCCCCAGCGGCGGGGTCCGCATGGCGCACCCGCATCCGATTCGGCACACCCCTCACACGTTTCGTGGGCCCACAGGGTGCTCCACCGACGGCCCCAGCGGTGGGGTCTGCATGGCGCCCGCTCGCCCGATCGGGCGGACCAGACCCATCACACGTGTCGTGGTTCAGTAGGGAGCTCTATCAAAGGCCCCAGCGGCTGGGTCCGCATGGGGTACCCGCACCCGATCTTGCACACTTGTCACACGCTTCGGGTTCCCAAAGGGCGCTCCGCCGAAGGCCCCAGCGGCAGGGTCCGCATGTCGCACGCGCACCCAATCAGGCACACCCCTCGCACGTTTCGGGGCCCCATAGGGAGTTCCGCCAAGTGCCCCAGCGGCAGGGTCCGCAAGTCACACTCGCACCCAATCAGGCACACCCCGCGCACGTTTCGGGGCCCCATGGGGAGCTGCACCGAAGGCCCCAGCGGCAGGGTCCGCATGGCGCATCCGCACCCGATTCGGCACACCCCGCACACGTTTCGTGGCCTCGTAGGGGGCTCCATCCAAGGCCCCAGCGGTAGGGTCGGCATGGCGCACCCGCTCCATTTCGGCGCATGCCTCGAGGTACCCGCAGCTTCATATGGTTGGGCCTTCCGCCAGGGAAATTGTTCAGTTTGGGGCGTTCCAGGACCACGCGTGGCAGCATGAAACATTGAACAAAACATACAAACGAGTATCAACTATTGAAGTTCGCGCTCGCATTTCCAAATCGAGAGCGCCAGATGTGGTTTCGTTTCAACAGCGACGTCAATAGAAACAACCATACAACACAATATAAACATCATGTCGCACTTCGACCTGTTCGGCGAGCATTCACTCCCACTCGGTGCTGGTTGTGGTGGTTGTCCGTCAAGGGCGTATTCATTCTGATATGATTATAAGTCAGGGGATGCGTGGCAGGGCGAATGCGCCGACCAGGTGGATCTTGCCTGTCAGCGGAATTGTTGACCACTCTTTACATTGCCAGCTTGAAGTTGTGTTCATTGTCTCCCGAGCGTATAGTATGGATCATTCCCCTCCTGTTTCTTCTCGTCGTCGTCCTTCGTCCCTACTCCATCATTCCTCCCTTATCGTTTGATTATCCCTCCCTGCCCATTCTCTTCTCATCACATTGTCGGTCCACTTTCACTCCATGATCTCCCTTGCATTCCTCCATTATCTTCGCACTTTCCGTTCCCGGTCCACCCCCTCCCCTCCAGCTCCACGTTCCCCAAAAAATTGCTACAGCAGAGGTTCTCCTTCGAGGCCGTCTTGGGGCCCTCTTGGGCCGTCTTGGGACTCTCTTGGAGGCCTCTTGGGCCGTCTTGGGGCAGTCTTGGAGGTCTCTAGGGCCGTTCGGGAGCGTCGGGAAGCCGAAATCGCGAGAATTCAAAAATCGCTCAACAAACCTAAGGACAATCAATGATTCTGACCTCCTGGGGCCCTCTTGGGAGGCCTCTTGGAGGCCTCTTTGGGCGTCTTGGAGGCCTCTTGGGCCGTCTGGAGGCCATCTTGGGCGTCCTGGGGCGATCGTTTGGCGCCTCGGGGCCCTCTTGGACCGTCTTGAAGGTCTCTCGGGGCTCTCTCGGCCCGTCTTGGAGCTCTCGCGGGCACGAAGAAGTCACGCGACAGGCAGCGGGAACCCAGGGGACGCGCGCCAAGCCCCGGGAGATTTGGCAATTTGGGCTCCGGGGCCTCTGAAGACTCCTCGGGACTGAGGACTGAGGTTCTGAGGGTTGGGCCGAGGACCTGAGGACACGCCCATTCCGTGCCCATCGGCACGGTGGCGGACATGTGTATATATATATATATATATATATACATATCATCTGGACGTGTGTATATATATAACATGCATTTGCATGCACGCATACAAATGTGCGTACCTGCATACATGGATACGTACATGCAAACACTCGTACAGTTGTACATGTATACGTACATTCATACACACGTACATACATACATACATACATACATACATACATACATGCATGCATGCATGCATGCATACATACAAACATACATGCATGCATGCATACATACATACATACATACATACATGCATGCATGCACGCATGCATGCATGCATCCATGCATAAACACACATGCATGCATGCATGCATGCACACGTACATACATACACACCTGCATGCACACGTACATATGTATATATAGATATACATAATATACTAACATGCGTTCATACATACATGCATACATGCAATCATACAAGCATACATACACATACATATACGTATGCATATACATGTACATGTACATGTACACTTACACGTACAATTACATTTACATGTACATATACCTATACCTATACACATACATAAACATATACATATACATATACATACACATACACACATACCTTCACAAATGCAAATGCAAATACAAATACATACAGACATACATACATACACGTACCTGTTCATACATATGTGTCTATACACATCCATGCGTACCTACATACACACAGACAAACAAAGAACCAACCGTGTATATGCATATATATATATACATATATATATATATATATAAATATTATGGTACCGCCTAGCTTACACCACATGGAGGATACTGCACGGATCACACCACGTGGATTGCACCGCTTTGCTTACACCGCCTAGATTGCACCACAGACTTGCTATCACATATACTGGACCATTTAGCTTACGCCACATAGGTAGCACCACAACTACTGCACCACGTAGCTTACACGACTTAGTTGACACAGCCTAGCTCACACCACGTCACGTGCACCACGTGTTTTGCGCCACGTAGCTTGCGCATTCACAATTCAAGCACTCACTGTTTGAAGTCTGCGCTAGCAAACCTTCATTCGTTTATCACTGCATTATCAGTCGGTTCTCGCTGATTCCCCATTTCACATTATGCTCGTTCACCGCATAGTCATTCCAGTGCCGCTCGATGCGTATTACCTTACCTGTCCATGTCCATTACTTTTTCATCCCGCTACCATTCCATTTTCATTACACCCCCATTCCATCATCAGCCCAGTCTCGCCCTGGTCTCACTCCATTCCCACCTTTTTCTAATTTCATGAGCACCACAGTACCATTCAAGTTGCGATTCGACATCATTGTCCTTGTAGTACCACTCAGTTTTTCCACCCATCATTATTGCATCCACTTTCGATTATCGAGCCACTCTCTACTCTCAGTCCGCCCTCGCCCCAGTCGTATTCTTCACCAACAGAGTTCTTATGCAATTCTCAGTGCTTCTTCTAGTCATTATGTTCGCACTCAGATTCTAGTATGGTGTTCGCTAAATGCTAAACACGCCCTCCACATTCCATTATCTCACCAGTCGCGTGGTTCGCCAGTGCTGATCGCACTACGCAATCATCATTTTGTTGCGCCCGCCATTCTGATTCTGGCCTCCACCATTTAGGAGTACAGACTCTCCTGATCATCGCCTCTTTGTCGTTTGTGTGTATCTCACTATCGCTCCATTGTCGTTTGCTTCTGGCTCCAGTCGATTCATGTTGACTCAACTCATTCCCACTCTAGTAGCACTTCGTGATCACTTACTTACCACCCCATTATCATCCGATGAGCATTCTATGTTGTGGTTGTCTGCAGCAGCCTAACGCTCATCACCTGTGATCAGGTCAGGCTGCGTTCCAACTCAGGGCGTGGCGAGAGTGAAGAGGGCACGGGTTGGCGAG